ATATATATGAAGAGGTCATGAATTTGAAAGAGTAGGGGTATGAAGATGATGTAAACATTATACTCATTTGCAAATATCTCAAAAAGTAATAAATCTAAGTTGTTAAAGGAAATTTAGAGTCTTTGCAAGTAGTTCAGTGAATATTCACTCACTCCAGGAGGATAAAGTTGCACCAAATCATTAAGACACCATTAAACACAAAGCTGTTTCTACTTAATCTCTCTGTGCACAGAGATATTCTTGAAATGTTTGGTTTAAACCTCTGCACTACAGTGTACTCTTCACAATGCCTTTGAAGTCACTCAGCAAGCAATTTGAGAAAGGCTATGAGTCAGCCAACTGCCCCTAAGACTTTGAGCTCTTCAAATGAAAGATGCTAGCTAAGTACAAAGTATCATAATCATCACAAAGTATTTAAAATTCTACTCACTTCAATGAGAGTGCCTAACTCAACCTCACCTCTGTGACAGTGAGGTACAGTCCTTCAGCTAAGCTTCTTCAGTAGGATGTTTGTAACGTCTCATAGAAATAGTATAGAAAAAAATGTGGAAGATTCGGTATGATTTACCTTACTGGTCTGAAAATGCAGGAAAATAAAAACATAAAGCAGAAGATTAGCAAAATATGCATGTGACTGAAGGGAGCAAAGATTGCCTTCTCTGGAAGTATGACCTTCTCCATGTTTTCCTACACTCTGATGGATTAAAGCATCCCTGGGTGGTACCACTGACCTTGGAGTTCCAAAGATATAGTTATAGTCTCACTGTTTTCTAGCGGCAAAGAAAACCACTGCAAGAAGGCACCTGGAGAACTGTTACTTCCTGCTTAAAATGTTTTTCCTAGGTTGAATTTACAAAAATATGGAAGAGAGAAACAACATTCTTCAATTAAAACCATTTTATTGCCATAGTTTCTTATATTTTTATTTTAAATGATCTGTTTACACAAATAATATCAAAAATATAAAGCTAGTTTTAGAAGCATCTTTAAGTTTACTGATAAACATAAGTAAATTTTTACTCTGGTTCTATCTGGCTCTAAGAACGCTCCTTTGACTGCCGTCCCATGCCTCAGGGTACTCATTCTTATGAATTTGATGTATATTGTTACAGCTTTCGTCAAGGCTTACTAGGTTTTTAAATTTCTGTGATGCTCATTTTAAGTAGTGTTAATGATGTAACTTGTTAAATGAGAAAATAATAAGTTGTCTAAGAGTACATATGTTTATATGTTTAATATGATGTCTTGTTGAATTGGCTGAGTCTTATCATATTTTACAATTTGTAGTTCTAAATGTTTTTCATGTCTTAGTACTTAGCCCTCGTGTTCAGTTTTGTTTTGTTGAGACAGAGTTTTTCTGTGAAACCCTGAAAGGCATAGAGCTTTTTATATAAGCCAGGGTGGCCTTTAATTCACAGATACCTACTCGATTCTGCTTCCTTAGTGCTGGGATTATTTGTATGTGCCACCACACCCAGGCAGGACCACTCAGCTCTGCTATTGGAACCCAGACATTGTATGGCTGCTGTTCACTCACCACACAAGATGCAGGGGAAATGTCCCTGTGTTAATAATCCTTTTTGAAGTATTCAGAAGCATGGGCCCACTGGCCCTTCCTTCTTTAAGCTTCAAGCTCTTCTTTGTGGACCCTAGAATTTGAACTAGCTGATTATTTCCTCATCTTGAAAGTAATTCCAGACTACTCTCCCAAGTGATTCATCCCTGTACTCAAGACTGAAGTGATGACACAGGAACCAAAAATAACCATCAGTGAACTAAAAAGTAAAAAACCATTAAAATGGGTAGGAAAAGGGAACACCTTCTTCAACACCATTTCCCTGGTAGTTTTGTTGGCTGTCTTCCTATCCTCCTTATACTAGTTCTGGTTGACTGATTTTCAGACATCACTGCAAATTCAAAAGCCTAGACACTAGGGCCAGCAGGAGCTACAGATGAAAGGGAAAGTTATTTTATTTTTTGAAATGATTAGAAAAGTCAGACACTGAGTTCTTAGGAAACAAACAATTTTGGAGCTGAGTGAAGACACAAAGTAGCAAGCTAGCAAGGAAAAAATGGAAGCAAGAAGCCAGAAAGAATGCAGATGATACGAGAATGAGCCAATGGGAGTTTTTCTGAAGCAGTGCTGGAAAACTTGACGCACATTTTAGTAATAAAAGACCAAGTACCCTAGATCAGTATCATAAAATATATCAGTAATGAAACTGAATTTCCAAGACTCCCCATGCATGCAATCCTCTGACGGTAATCTGGATATGCAGGAATGGCTGCACACAGGAAACATTGCACCTTGTGATCCCTAAATCCTAACTGAAAATGTACCCATCTGTATATATATTGTATAGACAGACATGTGCATAGAAATGCACACGGATATGTGTGTCAATCTTGTTAGCTTGACAAATGCAATTCACCCTAGGAAATAAATATCCACTCAGTTTAGTGCCTGGAAATCAAGTTTTTCAGACTTCCATGTTAAAATTCAGACTTTTGGATTATAGTACATAAGTCATCTGACCATCCTGAAGCTATTTCTTCTTGAATGTATTTTATGACTATCATTATAAATAACTATAACTTCTCCTATAGAGGCTTTGGCCCAAATAAGTAATCTAACAAAAAGTGATGTGACATAGGGACATCATAGTTTTAGTGTACACACTAAACTATATAATGGATGACTTATACATAAATAATATTATCTTTACTTTTTATAAAATAATGTTATAAAAGATAAAAACCATTGTAGATTATGTCTAAGGTTAATAGCATGAGAAAGAAAACATAAAGCCGTACCTGGATACCTTGCCTGGCCCTAAAGTTAGTGTGTCCCTCCACCCCCTTCCCTCCTCAAGTCCTAGGGCTGATGAGTTGGCCCTTCTACTTCACTCTGCTTCTACTTTGGTGACAAGATGATTTATACATGACTTAATACTTAGAATCATGAAATCAAACAGAGGAACTCTTCCTCAGTTTCCCCTGTGCAGTACGTAAGTCAAAATACCAAATAAAATTTAAAACTAAGTGACAACCAAGGCAGTTGGGCTCAGGATTGAAAAGCTGTCTGAGCAGTCACGAAGCTGTGCCCTCTGTCTACTCCCACACTGGCTTTGCTTCCTCAGCCATACCTTCTTATGAATGAGCTACTGATTGCTTTGTCACAATGGCACAATGACATCGTAAAATTGCTGCATTTCCTATTCTTATGGTACTACTCTTTGTCCTATGCTAATAGGAGATTCTCTTTTGCATTTAAGCTCATCTATTAAGATAGATACCTGAGTCCATTGCTAAATCAGTGTATTTTTCTGAGATTTTTCTTATGGGGCTCCTCCTGACTGATTTGTCCCTGATAATAAAGATAATGTATTAGACCTACAGAAATAACTGACACTTAGGTTTTCCTATGACTTCTGAAACCCTGGGATAATGGATAGGTACTACATTTACGTTATGCCAAAAGAAGCAAGCAGTGGGCAGGACATTGTTACATTAGGAAAGGGTTCTGGCTGTTGTGAAAATCTTTAGGAGAGGATACTTTCAAACCCTAGACATTACGTTCACAATCAACAAACTCATAGTGCAAATATACTTACAAAACCCTTCCTCGTGTAAGCATTTTTATTTACAGGTTATATCCAAAATCGTCAGTTACCCAAAAATACACATTTAAAAATACAGGACAAATAATATAATAGATAAAAGAGCATACATGTTCATTTCTTTTTGAAACATGGCAAATTAGTTTTATTGTAGCACATGAAATATCCATGCCTTCTATGTGCAGTCTATAACAGTGAACTATTATAATGCCTAAGGTTAATCCACATAACACATTTAATATCTGAATTGTTTAACAAATCCTATATGTCATAATGTAACCAATCCTAAATCATATGTCAATTATGTTCAAAGTTGTGAACTTTTTGTTCAAAAAACCCTATTTATAAGAAGGCTCTTTGCAATTCTTTTCTTTTGTGGGAATGGGGATTAGGGCCAGGGCCTCTCAGGCTAGGCAAACACTCTACCACTTAGCTATCCCTCAGTCGTCTGCTTCTATTACGTGAAGTATTAGCCTCACAGATTTTCTCTATATTCTATGTTTCTTGTTACCTATTATAACTAAAGCAAAACAACACATGCAAAGTTATGTGTAGCTTATAATTTGAAGGACTTTCTTCAACTAGAGAAAAAGATGGCTTCAGTGAATCGAATATCAATTGATGAGTATGGGATGATTTGCAGATATAAGAATATGATAATATACTCTGGTAGTGGCGAAAGACGGGTTTTCTTAAATGGAGCCCTTCAGCATCACCAAACCCTTTGAATATTTGTTGAAAATTGACATAAGCTGAGTAATTTATGACTATTCCTATTTCCAGCTAGACCTTAGAGTGAGCTACTGGCTCCCACGGGCCTCTGTTTTCATTTCCTTAAACCTCTGAAAGACTTCCATTTTAAAAAAGAAATTTGGATACTGTATAGAAGGATGCATTTCCCTTATAAATAATAACTTTCAGTTCAAATTTACTTTTAGTCTCAAATTCTTTAAAATTACTTTAGTGGATATCCTTTATAGTATTACAATTGTCTTTTCAAGTTTAGTGAGAACATACCTATATTCAATCTCCATATTACAGATTGTCTCTCAAATAACACATATCAATATAATGGAAGTCAATTCAGTTAATTGTGTTCCTGATGACCACACAGAATTGTCATCCATTTTTTTTTTTTGTCTACTTAACAGTAGATAAGATTTAAGGTTTTTTTTTTGTTGTTGTTGTTTGGTTTGGTTTTTGTTTTCAGAATTTGGGAAGCATTAAGAAAGTTGGTTATAGGTTGTTGGTTTTTTTTTTTAAGCATAAGTTGAAATTTCACTTAAAAAATTTAACATCTTACAAAAGATTGGTAGTTTGAAAATAGAAAAGTAAAAGGGGGAGATAAGAAAAAAGTTTTGAAAATGAGCTTCTACTTACCAGGTGTGAAATTATATCGAGCTGAAAATCCCATCGACTCCAGCTCGCCATCAGCAAAAAATTTAATCCACAGAAATCTTCCACTAGATTTTATTACAGGTGGATTCTGCTGTCCACAGAACCTTCCGATTATTGGAGAAAAGCCAAAAGGGCCATCTCGTACTTCAATGTGATCAAATTTGCACTCCCAAGATGGTTCAATCGAGTATTTTTCATCAAAGTAGAGTTCAATGCACTGCCTTGGGGCAGCTGTGAAAAGCAAAATAAGATTATATGTAGAAAGCAGTTTCTTAAATCTTGAGGCTGGTTAACTGATTCTACAGGAGATTCTATTTGTGTACTCTCCAATAGAACTCTGTAAAGAGTTACATGGAAGTACAAAGAAAGAAGATGGTTAGCATTCTAGAGACATTTTCATTAAAGAACACCTAAAAGTTGGCCTTTAAAACTGATAACATTGCACAAAACACTATTGTAACATGAAACAGCTAACATGGAACCAACACCACGTTAGCAATGCTGTTAACTCTTGTTAGATGGCAGAGGGGTGTAGTTCTCTCTTTTCTTATAACCTCCAGTGTTCAGGTTTAAAGGCAGAAGGCACTAAGGAATTATCCCCCAGGCAGTTATGCAACCACTAAAGTAGCTGCTACCAGGTATCTTGATTAGATCCAAGTGCATTTACAAGGTATTAAGGGTAATGATCCCAGAAATCAAATGTGATCTCATCATTTTCCACTTGGATTCCAGTAGTAGTCTCATCAGCTGAAGTACATACAGATCAATTCACTTGACAGATAAGGGCCTTGAGGAAGTCCCACTTCCATGATCTTATCACCTCTGATCTACAAATCCCAAGGTACTTGGAGCATGCCTTGATTACTAACACATCATGCCCTATGCAGCTGGAGTATATTTGTTTTGCTCCCTGTCTTCCCTGTCTAGATCACTACAGTTTAACCCCTCTTTATGGAGGGAGGGTTTCATTTGCCTGTTTTCTATTGTTTGATTTTGTTTTTCTGTGGAGGTTGTTGAACCCAGGGCCTGAAACATGGTAAGGGAATGCTCCACAACTAAGCCAGATCTCCAACTCTCCTAGACAATTTCTTCTTGTTTAGAGGAAATTCTCCTCTCAGACACTTCATTAAAGACAGGAACCTGTTTTACTTACTTTCCCTGGAACTGAAGCACAATATATGTCATTGTGTATTTTTCAATATTATGTTGAATAAATACAATATAGTTTCCCTTCATAAAAGTTTCTATAGCTCTCTGAAAAACAGAAGAATCTGATGAGCCTAGCAACATATCATTAACTACAGTAGTACATATTTTAATATTCCTTCACACTGTTCCCTTTCATGACCAAAACAGGAGTAAAGGCAACTTCTACTGTTATCCTCAGCCAGGATACTCTATAATGGATAAAGTTATGTATCCAGGCCTGGAACAGCTGCTTCCTTGCAGCCTCTTAGAAGAGCTTCCTGGCTACCAAGCCTTCTGCATGGACTAACCCTTCTAAACTTTGGGCACAGCAAAACTTGCTGCCTATGTGATCATCAACCATTCTGACTGTCTCCTACCCTGCGCCACTGTTTCTTAAAGGCATATTGATCACCACCATTGATGACATAAAAATTAAACTTGTGAAGGCATGGATGCCAATGATTTATATAAACCTGACATATTTATAACTCAGGCCACATTTTTATCTGACATTAGTATATAATACTGAGGTCAACAGCCAAAGAAACTGTGGCAGAGTTGATAGAATTTCTATTAAAAGTTTCAAACTGGAAAACACCATTTAAAACTATCTGAGGAGCCATGTTTCCTACCCAGAATATTACTCTCCAAACATAAAATAAATATTTAAGAGCAGGGATCTGTTTATAAGCATAGCTTTAAGTGTATTACCTGAGTTCTTTCTACACTGCACTCTACTCTATAAGCCAGTGTCTGCTCTTTGGTAAGCTACAGGGATATTTTAAGAGAAAATAAATTACTTTATCATATCAGGTATCACTTTTTTTTTCAAGATAGGGGTTCTCTGTGTAACAGCTGGGTTGTCCTAGAACTTGCTTACTTTGCACACCAGGCCAAATTCACTGCCTCTGCCTCTGGAGTGCTGTGATTAAAGGTATGCAACACCTCTGGGTTCCAGGCACTTCTTTTAGTTGCAAATATACAACTATGGAAAAAAAAAGCCAAGAGTACTGTCCTCAGGTAACTTAGTTAGCATTCAATGTGCCATCTATTAACATATGTCCACCTGTATCCTCTACCAGGAAAAATATAGACATCATGTGTAAAGAATACACTTATTCTCATCTTCATTTTTTCTATGACCTACACTCTATCCAACATGAACAAATGAATCACTCAAGTCTTCTCTCGCAGCATGCCCTCTTGCAACTTCCAGAGATTCATGTTATGTATGCACAGCTGATTTTCCTTTCACCCAGTATGCGGAATGAAATTACTACCCATAAGCCAATGTAAGAAATTCCTGCAAACTAAATTTTAGAAAGTACCAAATAGCATTAAAAATTGAACATGCTATTCAGAGTTGTTATCACCAATGCATAAATGGTTGGTTACAGTATAAGTAAACTAAATCTGCTGGTGAATTGCATAAACTCACTTTTTCTTCATAGTCAACTTGTTATATTCACAGACTCCTTCATTCTACTCACCCTTGATGACTTTCAACTGAAACTTAAGTTCCTTCAGATTTCCATCTCCCTCAGCCTCTTGGGATATAGTACCCATGCACACTTGCTTGATATACATGCAGTGTACCTCCTTTATCAGAAGGACTGCTGAAATCCCTGAAAGGACTTTTTTTCAGCATACCTTGTCTTAAGCAACTAGGCCATTTATTTATCCCTCTTAGTTTTGTTTCTTATGCTATTATAAAATAGTCTGGCAAAAGCAGCCAGAATGAGAAAATGTTTATTTAACTCACAATTCCGTCTTGTGGGAGAACATCAAGGCAGCAAGAACCCAAAGTAACTAGTGACAATATAGCCACAGAGCAGAGAACAATAAAGTAATGGCTCTTTCCTTTTACAATATAGAGTAGGCTAGGAAACAGTGCCCTCCACTCTCAGAATGGGTCTTCTCATCTCAGTTTACCCAAAGGTGAAAATCTTTCACAGGTATATCCAAAAACTCACCTCATCTAGACAATGCTTCATTGAGAATACCTTCCCAGGCATTCTACATTGTATCAACAATAAGAAAAAAAATGCTCCTTATCTTTACAATTTTAAATTTACCTATTTTTCTACTGATCAAATGACTCCTTCTAGTGATAAATATGAACAATTATCCTCTTTAAAAAAATCTCATGTTTACTGTGCCTTCGCAACCCCCTCACACAAGTACTCTCTTCCCTCAATCTTCTACTGACTTTGAGATGTTTCTCTCCCTCACTGTGCTAATCACTGCACTCATCCTTGAGACACAAGCAGACTCTTCATTTCTTCATACAATAAACACATATGCGTGTTTGCCTCATTTTTTTCTTGTAATAACTGTCACTTGGAAACCTACTGATTCTTGAATCTCATCCACAGCAGAGCAGCTTGATGACATCCCTACTGATTGCTCTGCTCATCTGCAGGTCCTTCTGAGAGCCCCTCAGGTCTCCTTGTCCTGTCCATTCCCTACGTGTTATGTTCCAGAAACACCCCCAGCCTCTCTTTATTCATGTCACTCCGGTGCACTGGGTGTGGCTGAAACACAGTGACATGATTTCAAAATCAGATGGTGCCTGAGCCTCTATGTCCAAAGAAATCAGAGTTATAAGGAAAGTCCAGACATCTATGTTTTTAGTAAGTTGAAATATTAGCGTTCTGAATAGCTCCCTCTCTTATTTTTATTCATCTGAAGTCCTCACTAGCAATTTCTATATTTATGTGCAATAAATCTGAAGAACCAGCTTAGATCTCTCCATTAAACTAAAATTCCGTGCATTTATTCTCTCCATGGCATACCTAAATATATGGCAACACTGACCACATCGGCATTTTATAAACCCCGTCTTATCATCTCCTACCCAGTCATTTGAATTTCAATATCCTAAAGACATCTCATTCCCTCCCTTTTGTCTGCCACCCCTGCCAGTATCTTTAGTTCAGGTTTTCTCTGTTTTATTTGGCCATCCCCAAAAGCTCTTTAGTTGCCGTTCTTTTCCTTCAGTTACTTTTCTACTGAAGTCTCACCTCATTAGTTCTCTGAATTCTTTCAGTGGTATTCAATTGCCTATAGTTACCTTATGAATTTCTATAGGTTTGGCTCCTAGAATACAGGGCTCCTTTTTCAAATCATCTCCCTCCTACCCATTCCTCTCTTGACCTGGGCAGGCCAGTATCACAGCTTACAACTTCTCTGCACTCTAGTACAAGGTGTTCTATAAAAAATGAGTTCAACCACCTAAGTACACATAAACCATATTTCTCCTTCTCCTTCCTCTTCTTCCTGCTCCAGCAATCCTATGTAAACCTCAAAAGGCCTGATTGTCTCAAACTCCTCAAGACACATTGACAATACCATGAGGCTAGTATCTGTAAGTTCTGTGCAATGATTGATAGCAAATCAATAAAAAAAAGTCACTATGACACCATTTGAATTGTGAAGTGTTTGTAGATGGCTTCAAAACAAAAAATGCTAATAGTAAAGGGAGTTTCTGTTCATTTTCTCGTTTTATTTTGTCTTTGTTATAAATACAAAAATAAACAAAACTATATGAAAACTATCACATTCAAGACTAGCTGTACTTGTAAAGGTGCCAAAGTAATACACTAGAAGCAGAACTCACAGGCAACACATCCTTCTTTGTTCTTTCAAATGTGAGTATTTTGAGTTTCAGCATAATGTTTAATTTCTATATACTTCCATTTCCTAATTAACAAAATGAAGGCACCTACCTATGAGTAATTATTTTTGTATATAGTAAGTTCTTCAAAAGTTTGTAATACATTTTTAACATATATAACTAGTAAATGTCTAATAAAAACTTGATTAAAAAATAGCAGCTGATTTCAAACAAGAAACTCAATGTTTTCATCTTCTACAGGTCCAAACTGCCAGATATATATTGAGTTGGTTTGTTTTATCTTTTAAACATCAAAGTTTATATAGTTTGGTTTATCTTTGATTAAAAAAATTCCTATGTTATACATTGCAAGAGAAAGAGAAATATTCCTGACTTATAGATGAAAATAAGAATAAAAGAAAAACATTTCTAAACAGGACCCTTCAAAATCAGAGATATAGAAGGTAGAGGGTTCTTTTGATGCTGTCTTCCTTCCTTCCTTCTTTCCTTCCTTCCTTCTTACCTTCCTTCCTTCCTTCCTTTCTTTCCTTCTTAAAGTATCTGCATTGTGACTGCAACTCTGGTTTATGAGGAGACAATATGCAGTCACATTTTCATAACTCAGTCCGTAGTTCTACATGGTATGGATGGTAGCAAGTTCTAAGTTATTTGGAACTCATATTTAAAATGTTGCCTTCATCACTGGGAGACATGTTCACATATTTTAAAATCTTTCTTTATATTTAACAGAGAAATGGCTCAACCTTAAAAGAAATGAAAAAATATTAAGAAGGGTGAGTCTTTTTTAAAGTACTTTTTGTCCTTCAGGTTGGCAAAATGGATGAGAGCTTCATGTTAGAATCTTGGCTGACCTGAAAATATGATCACCTCACTTGCAAATACACAAAAAGCCAAATACCTTTCAAATTAATGTTGATGAAATATGATTGCAAATATACCTTTGCCAATTATGTGATTCTCTGTTCTTTTTTTATTTTTTTATTTTATTAGTTCTCTGTTTCTTGATAATATTGAAGAAAACACTGACAAATGTATCAGTTATTGTAATTATTATCCAGTAAAACATTAGTTTTCAAAGTGCCACAAATTGACATTGTCAAGTATAGAGTAATTCTATTTTAGATTGCTGGAAAATAGCTTTTAGGTTGGGTACTTGTTTCATTTACATATATTTATGTGTTCATAGCCCATTTCTAATAATTTCAGAAATTAGCCTGATTCTAGACTTACAGTTATTTGATCAGTGATACTTGTGCTCAGTTTCTCCAAAATCAGTTTTATAATATCTCTGTTCATCACATCACACATGTAGGGCCTGGAGAAGGCCAGACTTTGGCTTGTCTCCCTCGTCTGGCCGTCTCCATGTCTTACCTTCTATGATGTAGACACACTCTCGGTCAGGAGGGTACTTGCTGGGATAGTTGGGAGAAGTAAAGACACCTCCCTCTGCATGCTTTGTCCAAGTTCCACACTGCACTGACTTCTGTGTTTCTGAGGTGATTTGTTTTTCTATAAAACAAAAAAAAAATTAAAAAGGACCTTCATCCAATATTTTATAACACCAAAAATAGAGAGGACATTCTCATAATACCCATTAGTAAATTAATTTCAAGATGGCCTTTTAGTCAAAGACAGTCAATTATACACTCTATGTGATATCCAGATATTCTGGAATGGATATGGTGAAATTGGAAAACGAAAAATGATTAGACATTTCCATAGAATTAAAAAAAATACAAAACAGCACACCTGTTCCTTTCTTGGTTGCTCCAGAAGAATGGAGGATGATTAAACTTGCTATAACTGAAAGAGAGAAAGAACAATCAGAAATGTAAAATTCACACCAAAAATGACCAAAACGTGTAAAGCCATATGGCAATTTACAGATAAAGTAGAATAATTTTATCATTGTTAATACTTAGAGGTGACTCAGAACTTTGGAAATATAATTCAAAATATTCTAAGTAAAATATGGGATTCCCATAAGGAAATACTTCCTGTTTAGAAAGGATGATACCCAAACTCTTCAAGGCTATGAAAAATGCTACTCTGCAAATGTTACACAGACTGCAAGGAGGTTCCCAGATATTGCTGCAGTAAAGCACCCGGAGTTTTGTCTGTGTCTTTAAAGAAAAAGGAGAGCCACAGTAGAAAGAGGAAGGGGAAAGCAAAGAGGCAAATCTCCATGACCCACCCTAACTATTGCCAATAAGCTTGGGTTGTAGGACATAAACAATTCCGAAAAGCCTATGACAGGTGGCTGGTGTGGGAGTGCAAGAGAAAGATCAAAGTGGATTGGTCCTGGCATTGAAACAGAGCTACAGAAAGGGATTGTTGTTTGTGTTAGTTTAGCTTTTGCATGTTTGTTTGTTTGTTTGTAGGAAAAGAAAAAAATGAAAGCTAACCAAACTACCAAATAGCCCTGTTTATGACTTTCTCCAGCTATAAAATTCATCATTTCTAACCTGAACTGTGATTCTAAATTGACTATCATCCATAAACAGACAGTAGTTTTGAAAGGGAGATTTCTAGAGGTATCCATACAGTCAGCTCAGGGTTAGAGACTCTGATCTGCACTGAGCAATAAGTCTGATGTCCTGAGAGGATCTAAGATTCTGTTTACCTCTTCCTTCACTCAAAAATGTCTAGAGAAACCTGACACTAGAAAAGTGTTAAAAAAATCTGATCTTGGTAATAACTGACATTTCTCCTGTTTCATTTTTGTTAGTTATTATGAACAATTACATAAAATGTCTTCCTTTGCATATTTCCACCTGAAACTAATTTAGGTAGAGGAAGTGGGGGCATCAATCAACCATCTTACCTAAGGCATATCATTATTCTCGGAAAAATTATCTGAGCCTTGAAATTAAGGTTTGGGTAATTATTAACGGCACTACTTTATACTTTGGCCAGGTCAAAGATTAGGAAGGACTGTGGTGGCAAATGCCTTTAATCCCAGCACTTAGGAGGCAGATGCAGGTGGATCTCTGTGAGTTCGAGGCCAGCGTGGTCTACAGAGTGAGTGCCAGGACAGCTAAGGCTACACAGAGAAACCCTGTCTGGAAAAACAAAACAAAACAAAAAAATCAAAGATTGTTCTTATGGAGTATGAGTGTGTGTGTGTGTGTGTGTGTGTGTGTGTGTGTGTGTGTGTGTG